GGAATTGTCCATTGAAATATATGGCAGCAACGAGTATAAGCTTCCTCACATGAAGAAGGACGCTCTCATTGCAGACTTTGCATCGTATAATGTCGAGTTTGACGCCTCGTCCTACGAGAGCGCTTTGGCTCATGCCAGTAATACTGAAAACTATCTGCCCTGGTATACTAGGTTGAATTTCTTTTCGTCGGATAACATAGCCACCGTCAATTCCACGGCCTTGTGGACATATGGACTGGCAAAGTTGAAGTTGAATCGGTCGTGTTGGTTAGGGAGTTGTACGGAGTCCGGAGAGGATATTATTATACTTTAGGAAATTCAAAAGCACAAAATACATTAAGCTTTGTAGTTTGAGTTACTTTACCACGTAATGGTGCGAAAATGACCTTGAGAATTTTGTTCGCGATGGTAAGCTAAAAATGTGTCCGATCGCGCCGCTGGTAAGGACAAAGCGCTTTCACGTCATTTTTTGCGAATTAGCTGATTGTAGTTGAGAAGAAACGTTCGTACTGGCTTGTCATTTTGATTTATTTCTTTAACTATCCGTCGAAGCTCTTTTCGAGTTTTGCCAAATGCCAAATTCGTCGGTGATGTATTTGCCCGAGGCATGACTTAGAAGTTGACTTTGGCACGGACAAGGCCATGATGTCGTATAATTCGAATCAGTCCTTCCCTGGTCTTGGAGGCAGTTTGGTTCAGTAAAGCTTCCATACGTACGGGGTCGTGCTTCACATCGGATCCGTTGAAGATACGGCTACATCACTTGAATTCCTTCGCGTAGAAACTGCGCTTCTTCGATTGTAGTTTCAATCCACGCATGGCACAAACCTTCAATAATTCAGCCAAGGTCGAATGCAGGCCATCCGATGCCTGGCGATAATCCAGCAGTTTGTCGAGCCAGACCAACAGACACTTGTACAGCTGTCCAACAAGCATGGATTGGCCTGTGGATTGGCAGTACGCTCCCCACCTTGCATCACGCGGTTGGACGTGTAGATGCCCGGGTTCGTCAGGAACGAAACATTTCTTGACAGTTCTTATGCAGGGAGAATTGCCAGTAGCCCTTGAAGAGGTATAAGATAAAGAAATA